GTCCAGGCCAGGGCTTTTGGAGTCAGGGCGGTGGGTGCAGATGGCATCCACTCCAGTGGCTTCCCCATCCTTCTCAGGCCTGGAAAAGGCAGGTGAGGAGAATAACAATAAAGGAGGACTCCCAAGATTGCTGGGTGAAAGACAGGAAGGGGCCAGAGGAAATGAGAGGCCTGATACACAGATGAGAAGCCACACTTAGACTCTCTGAGTGCACTGACTACTGTCCAGCTTGGGATGGTGAGCATAGTTGTGGATACAAGAATTTTTCTAACAATGCAGTATGGCTCTTGCATTCTCATGGCATGGGGACAAGAGAGCTTAGACTTGAGACAGGTGAACAGCTGGAATTGGGAATTAAACAAGTGAATGAGGCATGTTTGTCTTGAGAGAAATCCTAGTTAGAGAATTTAACACCTAAAGCCTTGGGAGAGTCAGGGAGAAAAGAGGGAATTCAGAGGGATGGCCAGGGCAGAAGTCCAATCTTTCTGACAGACCCTGTGGAAACTCTCAGTCGACTTGGGTGGGGCTGCAGAATAAACACAGAGAGGGCAGGAAAAAAGAAGTCCAAACTCATAGAGACTGGGAACAATTGGGGCAGCCAGGCTGGCTATTCTAAGCTCTCACCTGAGTAAGATCAGTCTGCAGCCAGAGTACAGAGTGCCAACACTGGTGCTCTTGAACAGGGGCCTGAGCTGTGGGGGAAGGAGAGGGAGGTGAGTAGGATGGCTGAGGGGGTAGGGGCAGGGGACTAGTCACTGAGGCTGGCACCAGCGGGTGGGCGTGTCATCAGTGGAGGCAGCCTTGGGTCTCTGGGACTGAGGGGAGGTGGGTGAGATCTTGTTTCATGCCCTGTTATGAGTGAGATAGGTGGGACGAGACAAGGTGAACTGGACAGAGTGAGACAGGCAAGGCTCTTACCAAGCCCTGAAGGACCCTCTCTGTGGTGTTGAACTTCCTGGAGCCAGGGTGCTGCATGTTCTCCTCATACCGGAGGTTGGTGATGGTGAAGTTGAGAGTGAACGGCACCAGGAGAGGGCCGGCACCTGTAGTGGGGGGTGGAAAATAATCTGTTCAAAAATAGGGAACATTATAAGTTTCCGAAAGACTTAGTTCCAAACATATGCAACAGGATTTAAAAAGAGAATAAAATAAAATGTTTCCATGTTTCCCTCAACTATAATGATAGACGTTTCTAACAGATCCTACTAAATAATAGTCATTGGATGCTGAGCATAAGTCTTGGTGCATATTCAGTGTTCTGTAATACTAAGTTTTATCTACTGCCTTTGTCCTTATCAATATCGCCAACACTGTCACCCTCACTATTATTGTCATCACCACCAGCATCGGCACCAAAACCATAACCATCTTAATCCCTATCATCCCCACCATCATCATCATCACCATCACCAAAACAAGCAACATCTACATCATCGCCACCAGCACTATAGTCACCAACATCATTATCATGTCATCATTAACATTATAACACCATCACCATCATTGTCAGCATCACCATCACTACTGTCAATCACTACCACAACCACCATCACCACACCAGTATCATTCTTCCCATAATCACCATCACCACCATCTTCATAATTATCATCTTCATCACCATCATTATTATCATTATCTCCAGCAACCTCACCACCAACAATCCCATCACACTCACAATAAAATAAGCTCTCTGAAGACAGAGATTTTTATCTCTTTTGTGTTCCCTGCCTTATTCCCAGAACCCTGCAGAAACTAGGTGCTAAATAAAATTTATTGGTTGACTCATCCTCACTAGATTCACTTAGGACATTTCATCTTTATTTGAGTGAAAATGGCAGAGATGTTGACATTCATCAGGTATGCTCTAAACGAGATGTGATTGACTGGTACTTACCTGAGGGAACAGATATAGAAGCTGGAGTCCTGGATGTTCTGAGGTCTACTGTGGACATCCCAGGAGCTGAGAAGAGGACCTCATTAGTGAAAACAGCAAACCCTCTCATGGCAGAAATGCCAGCAGGTAGGAGAATTTATGGATCTTGCTGGATGTGGGGCTTGAGCTGGGTTTCTCTCTGAAGAGACTTGGGCCAGAGGGGAAAGGGAATAACTTGTGCTCTCCTAGCTCCTTTGCTCATGAAGAGGACATAGGGGAATAGGATAAGGAATCAGCTCCTGCCAGGATTGGCGTAGGGTTGGGGCCACTGGAACATCAGTGGAATACTCACTGCTGGTGGTGGGCACAGAGCTCCGATGGGTGAAACCTGCATAGAGAGGGAAGGAAGAGAGTGGGTGAGGATTAAAGGAGAGGTAAGGGACCAATAAGGGGTCAGGGCTACCCTGGTGCAACTGAAGGAGTTTCAGGGAACACAGGCTTTGGAGATTCTCTTTCAGAACCCTCAGATCAGGGAAGAAGGTCCTGAGGATGAAGGTCGTCAGTGCAAAATGAAGAAGAAACCATGAAGTTCAGATCAATCGTCAAATGCAGACAATGTGGCCAAGCCTTCAATGGCCAGGCAGGGAGTGTGACCTCAAGACAGAGAGGAGAGGCTGCTCAGCGAGGAGGAAGAGACTCCAACCACATCACAGCTGCTCACCATTGACAAAGAGGCTGTCCCTGTCCAGGGTGTAGGGGCCCAGCTCAGTGATGCCGTGGGTCAGCTGGCTCAGCTCCCA